GAGGTGGTTCGGGCATGTTCGCCGCATGGGTACAACTCAGATACCGAAACAGTTGCTTCACAGCTGACTGCATGCAGGAAAGCGGAACATAGGAATACTGATGATACATTACCAGCGCATGAGCAAGGTGGGTTTATCATGAACTAATGTTGCACCGATGACATAAGCTGATCAAGAGGGCGGTTGCCAAGGTGCATGAGAAATCACTGTTGCATGCGGAAAAGAAACGTCGGTTGAAGACGCGACAGTTGCCGATGTTAAATATAACCCATCGACCTCGAGCGCATGTGGTCGCGCATGCTTCAGCCAAGCTAGATTGGTAAGCCAACAGCGTCGCCACGCGGGTCCAACATCGAAGAGGCAAGGAGTCAGGTGATTAAGTAATCATCAGAGCAGCGCTTGGTAAATACACTGCTTCCGCTTCAGTTCCATTTGCTAACCCATACTAATAATGTGGTCGATGGGGTACATGTGCTATCTCATCGCTGCAGTTGCTCTGTACGTGATGTGCCTGCGTGTTGGATTACTTGCATTTTAGGTGTTGGTTGTTGATTGAAATCCCCGGTGTGGCTGCGCTTCGTGTGAATGCTGACAAGGTGCCTACCTGTCTAACACCCTCTACTTCGATTACTGGCTCCAGGAGACCGTGAATCGTTTCTGGGAGGACGGGGTGCACGATCCTCGTAACCGTGCTGGACTCAAATAGTGGTTTCATGTATCCAGTGTGGAGCGGGCTACGGCACAGCCACCGCTTTGTGTACGTCTGGTACACATGATTCCCAAATTAGACTGAGTAGAATATCGCCGCTGTGCATGTTGAACTAATGTGGGCCGGCTCCGTTTGTGGAACGTGGTTCCCATCCACCTACCGGTCTTATTCCATCGGGTTTACACTGGATATGGGGTGCGTGAATGGAGCTTTAAGTGGTGCAGCGCAGTTCACCCAAGACCCCACAGTAGGCGCAGGTCTTCTGTGGCTGTCCCTATGGTGGCCGTAATGACAAACAAATCCGGAAGCGGATGTTGCCAACCATATATATTTACATGAAAATTGTCAATATCGGAGACAGAACGATCAGAAATAACGTATGAAAATGCATAATAGGTTCAGAATCACCGTGAGAGTCAGATAAAGAATTGCTTTCCGTATTTTTCGCACGTCGTTTTGCCTTTTTGTCAGTTTAGTGCTTGTGTTGTTTACTAGTTAAATGAATGCTTAAATTCACACAGATCCTCCCCTTAGACCGATTCCACGCAATGTTCTCAAGAACTTGAGACCAGTGATGTTCTTCATCTTTAGCTTCCTAGCTCAGAAGGTGTACGGGACCGAAGACAGGTAAACTTAAAATCTGCGCTTAGACATTTTGTCGTCATATGATAGATTGACCATCGCGCGATCTCTTCCAGATCGACCATACTGTAGTCGCTCGCACGGCGTGCATAGTGCACGACCCAATCATCTCAGTTGGCGCAGCGGTATTAGCTTGTCGAGTGGGAGGCCCGTACTACTTAAGACTCGACGCCTGGCATCCTCGTTGCAAACGCGGTGTTCCAACCACACACGAGCTATCATCCGCAGGAAACCGATCGACCAGTGCTCACTCCCCTACCACAATCCCGCGCGAACGCAGACCTTGTTGACCCTGCCCCTTACTGAAAGTCAAACGTCACTACGACACCACATATACTTCAAATCAGTGAAAACTGATGGTGCTTTGGTAACACAAGCAATCTCTCTTCTGATGGTACTATCATTAGAAACGCAGCTCCCAACATCGATGAAACTATGCACTTGTTCAAACTGCGCGCTTTCAGGAGTCAGCAATGGGGCAGGTGGATGGAAATCCTGGAGTAGGGCTCTGCATTTGGACAGGACGTAGATCATGCCATACTTGGTAGCTTCAATCGTCAAACTGTCAAACTGAAACATGGGTATCCCTCTTTCATCGCTAATGACGGCGAAAGTTGAAGGGAGCTTACAGTAAGCCCTCATTCTGATTTATACGTTACTGTATGATGCTCGTAAGATGGCGGTATACTTTTCGGATGCCCCATTCCTTTGCAGACGACGCCATAAAGCAAGCCGATCGACCGAATGAAACGTAACCCAATTATCCTAAACTAGCGACAACAGTAGGCTAGCGGTAAAGGTGTTGCTGTTCGCGGAGATAGTGAAGCATGCACATGTGATTCACACACCGTCGACCGGCGTGAAAAACAGTCTGCTCTTCAAGGAGGTGTAGTTCTCGAAAGGGAGTTAGTTTATAGAGTGCAGTAGATACCAATAGCTAGACGGTGGTGGGCATTAGATGGGTTCATCAGGGGTTTACGCATAGGGTACGGCACCGAACCTGAAGAGCAGGACGATAGTCGACTAGCCTCAAGAAGAGGGAATCTTTTCCTCACACGGAATCTTGCAGAGCAAATTTCTCGACTGGTTGACATTTGCTTCTCCACTTGTACAGCTCCAGAGGAACTCCGTTTGAGCCAGCGGCCTTGAATCGCTTCAAGTGACGGAGCTGAAGGCAGACCTGTGCTTCGGTGGATGGTTCCAGTGAGACCTTCCGACGCGCACAATTTAATATACTTGTTAAACAAGTGGACGGAAGAGGCCAACTGAATTGAGTGGAAATCTTCAGCGGAGCGGTCCACACGCCTGTCCAAATTGTTGCTTGTTGATGGATTCGCTTCGCAGATAACCTGCGACCAGTGGTCTGAATGATCTGGAAAAGCTTGCTTAAGTTTCCAGTGAAGCTACTGTCTCCATCTTTGAGATCACTCAGTTTTACGATCATTATGCAGTTTACATTTGAGTTGTTGGCTGTGGTTACTACGAGCTTCACCGCTATTTGAATCAGCTGAGATAAGTCGGCGACGGTCAACCAATTCCAGTGAGTGAACGATGATCCAGCCCCTCATAAGGCCGTAAATGAGTATTGATTCCGCAACAAAAACTTCAGTGATATTTAGCGTCTTGAGATTGAGCATTAGCGATCGTAGTTGATAAGGAAAATTGATAGGCCATTTGAATGGAGGGGTTAGCTAGCCTGTTGGTATCGGGCTTACAGTCATATCAGCAGGAGACCGATCTGTGCGTTTAGGTCTCCGAAAAGGACGAAGCTATGATTTCTCAACTTTACTTAATGTTATAATTGAGGGAACGCCTGATAAGATTGTCACTGGCACGTTTGGACCACGCCTACGGTAGCGCATTGGAACACTGGTCAATCGAACGAATTTGCGCTGACCTGATGGCGTTAGCTTAGCCCGGGGTACGCGCTGGTGAGAGGGAACTTAAGCGAGCGTGAGAACGATCCTAGCCGCACGTATTCGGGTGGACGCTGAGCCCTCGGAATGGACGCACACGAGAGGGGTTTACAGTAGACGCGCGCTTACTGGCTTAGACGCGAACGCTGTTGGGCTATCGACACACAAAATCATGTGACCCGACCGACTCCCAACTACGGCGAAGAGGAAGAAAAGCAAGTAGTCCTCTGAACGCTCTTTTACGACCAACAAAGGGCGAATCACAGCCAATGCTATGGGTTATTAAGTTAGGGAAAATAGTTACCACGACGGGGTGGTAGTTTGCAAAAGAACATTGTCAACGTGTGCACAGTTGGGTTGCGCCTCGGAGTGGCTGAACGCTGCTGCGTTGTGGGGAGGAATTGGACCCAGGTTTCCACAGCCATTATGCCGGAGTTTCTGGCGCGTTTTTGCGGGGATATTTGACGGGCCCGCAACGCTCAAAAACTAATGCAGTCCGCAATGAAAGTCGTCTTTGTCCGATGCACAACTGCAGTAGATCGAAGCTTAGGCGGGGGTCACAAACAGATTACGTCTCTCTACAGTGTCTATTGATCCTGCGTGAGCTTTGAAGCCGAATCACACACAGTCCGCTGTCCATCGGAAACCAGTTAAGCAGCGAGACCTTAGCTTTGCCACTCAATGCGATGCCAACACCAGCCAAGCGAGTTGCTGCTGCTTCTATGTCGCCAGGCAGACACAGGAAATACTTTGTTCCAAGATAATCAGGGGACCTCAACTTAAGAACTGTGCTAGAGTCCTGTAATCGAGTCTCAGAGAGAAAACAAACATTGATAGCAAGGGACTCTAAGGTGCCCGGCAGGCTAGCCTGCTGCCGGATCTACATGAGAATTCGAACGTTGAAGGCTGTCAACCGGGATGCAGCTCGGGTCGAATGTGGGCCACCGGTCTGACTTTTTGGGCATCAGCGAGACTGACATCGTAAGATTAATTCCACGGGACGAGGATTATCAATGAAGGGAGGTGTAATGGAGGTGCGTATGCATAAAGCAGGCCGAAGCAGAAGGGTGGATGTAGTAATACTGACGGAATCCGTGGTTCTACCAGAGGACGAGACACCGCCCGGTTGCCCAAGCCAAAGTAGGGAATTGTCTTATGGAACACCACCACGGGCCTTTGACTGAATAGCCTGCTCACAAGGCGGTGGGACAGTTATACTCATTGAAGCCGTTGACCAGCTACTCCATTCATATATCTTTCCTCTAGTCGGTTAACAAATCGGGGCCAAATCCTCCCTATGAAATCACCATCAGGCTGCTGGAATACACATGCTCCAGCGGGGTGGAACAAGAGGCTCCGACTATTTAGTGAGGAGTCACACCGCCTAGTCAATATTAAACAGGCGTATGTGGCTTTTTATAGGGCGAACGCTTGCTAGACTCGTTACCTCCTGGAACATTGCCACCGGACCATTCGTTAGAATTAAATATTCCTGAAGCACCCAGCTGGCACCACGTGGTTGTTCGGCAAGCCACCCACGCACCGATGAAAACACCTATAAATGGCACCTGCTAGAATCGGACGTTGTATCTTCGTTATATATGCTCTTAGTAAGTCTGCTTGTGACCTTATTGTTCATGATTACTGGCGTCTATTTTTGTTTCACAGTGCACATTACCCCCACTTCGCTTAGTAGTCGTCTTCCGGTGTGTGCCGGCTTCATCTTACTGCAGATTGAAACTCTCAAAGAAGCGCTGTATCGTCTTGAGTTTCCGGCGATCACTTGTGCCTCAGATATCAGTAAAATCAACAAGGAAATCGCCCACTTACTAGATGCTCGAACAGAGAAACCAGTTGCGCCAGTATCTTTGGCACCACACATGGACGCCATCGGGACTATCTTCGCCCTGTTTGAATCAGGTGCTGCAGTCACTGTGGAGGATATTCTGCGAAAATTGGAAATCTACTCGAAAACAGGAACTGCGAATAAAGAGTGGGCGGAGACATATATTAACATCTTGAACCGAATGTCACCCACTTCTCTCAAGGTAAGCCTTTTAGAGGATTTCCTTTTTTAACGGATGCAACAGCAGCTTTATCGACTATACCATTTCTCTGTCAAGTTAGTTCGTACTGGAACTAAGTTCAGCTTTACACCAGTCAAGTATGTTGGTCCATTCATCAATCGGACTGCGTCGTAGGGCAGATGCGGTAACGTTCTTTAAGTCTGCCCCGCAAAGCTCCAAATATTAAACCGTACGAAAATAGAACAGATCTCTTCATATGATCGCACGATACCTTGGCAATGTTTCTAACATTAGTTTTCTGTTGTTTGATGGAATTGGCACTTGTAATGTTGTTCACTATGGGTATAACCAAGGGAACGAAAATGTGTGTACAGGAACAAATAACTGCTCCGTTGCAGTTAACGAAAAATGGCAAAACGAAGTTTCTGATAAGTGAACGTCTGTCATCATGCAAGATCTGTGCATATGGCTGCATACAACCTAATATGCATATATGCTGCGTTCCGATAGGTATCATTTGGGGATTTCGGCCGTAAACGGAAATTAATCCCTTCTACAGGGAAATCATCTATTCAAACAACAATTTAGCTCTTAGTAACTCGATTGAAGGTTAGTGCACTTAACTTGATTGTTTTGTTCTTAAAAGCAGATAAATGCTTTCGTATAGCATAAATCATATTAAAATTTGTTTCTTATCTATCATGCAGCTGGTAGACTGGTGGAACGTTACCGCACATACTGGCGTGTAGCTGCTTTATGAACCAGTCGCCATCAGCCAATAGGATATCGGCTGCGTGTACGCGTGTCACAGTGATGCGAGTGGCATACTTCAATCTGGACTTGCTCGCGTACATGTTGCCGCATGTGCGATGACGAGTTACATGAAGGGGGTGTGAGAGTGTTGACGTGTTAATGCCTGAGGTCACCAATGGAGGGTTAGGTTGCAATCGTTTCAATGTAGGTGAAGGAATTTGCGCGTAATCCATAGAGCCGCTGTCACAGAGCTTGCTGGCGAGAAGAGCTATTGGCTGTTCGCGATCTGACACTGCCGGTCGTCGATGTCCCTATGCTAAACTCGCAGGCGCTTGTCCATACAAGCGATCAAGTGAGGTGAACACGGCGTACGCGTGTCCATTGGCATTATACCAGTGACACATTGAGACTTAAGCTCACGAGTTACTGATTAAACCGCATGCGCACCGGTGTACATTGGCAACTTCATAGTGCAATAAACAGCTCATGGAGTGTCGTGGCTTCAAGAAATTGCGATAAGTGCGAGTTTGATACGGCTAATTGCGACTACCTTTGCGAAACGTAGGAATCGGGCGTTAACATGTCAACATAATTGTAAACACTGTGACCAGATCACACAGAGGACAGGTGGCCGGTAAATGTCTACCTATGGATGAAGCAGGTGGTCTATGTGAACAGGTGTTAGGAGCAACCGATGACTGCGTGATTTGATGCTACAGCGTCGGCACTTCACCAGCTTCTCCTTAGTGCAGTACAAGCGTACCTTAGTCAAGACGCTATTCAACCGTGCAAGAAAACTATGCACCACCAACAGTTTAGATGATGAGATAAACTCGCTCAAGGATACGCTGCTGAAAACTGGCTTTCCAAAGAGATTTATCACATACATTTTCAGGCGAGGACGCCGGGATGGAAGGTTTAGGCAGTTGCTTAGAAGAAGGTCTACATCGATCTCCCATTTATGGATGACTTTTCCAATATAAGGACAACGAAACACATAATCTCCGCAGTCCAGAGGACTTATAATGCTGCTGAAACTGGTTTTATTAACCGGACTAATCGAATATCTGTAACCCGCACGACGGAAAGTCAACCTGTCGGTGCTCAACTCACAATGTAGTTACCAGTTTACCCGTACCTATGGTACGCGCTACCTCGGCCGAGCTGAGAAAACGTAGAACTTCAGCATAAAGGAACATATACCTAAATAGTTGCAGTGTCAAATCACCCAGTCGTCGGTTGCTCCTAATACCTGTTCACTTAGGCCACCTGCTTCATACATATGTAGGCATTTATGGGCTACCTGTCATCCATTTGATCAGGCCATCATGTTTACAATTGTCTTAACATGCTAACGCCTGATTCTTACGTTTCACAGAGGCAGTCGCGATCAGCCGTATCGAACCCGCATTCTTTATACAGTAATAGCTGTTCGGTAGCCTTAGGCTGACATGTACGTAGCGGTGTGACGCCTGTCCTCCACCCCGTGCTAACTTGATCCGACCCCACCCTAACTGTCGTCTTATATATCTTCATGTTATTGTGTTGGCACTAAGCGGACTGCGAAATGTTAGCATCGCTTTTCCCTCTTCTTACGGCTTCTACTATTGTCGTGTTTCGGATGGTCGTCCTGGTTACCGCCTTCCTTTGGGCGGTCTTTCTGTCGAATATCCAGGAGTACTCGCACCTCGCATGGTGAGTTTCAGAGCGAAAGTACCGAGAATAGGATGGCGTCAATCACATCAAGGGAAAACAGTGTTACTCGAAGGAGTCTCTCTGTTGGTCTATAGCACAGAATCGGAATGACGGGTTTCAACATCTTGGATTCAGCCCAAATTCCGGTTGTATCGTTACCATCGTCCATCTGCTTGGCACATATTCACTCTGGAACACAGATGCGTACTATAGTTAGTGCACCGTAGCCCCCTTTGGTTACCAGCGGTTTGGGATCACTTACGGTTAGTGGTTTGGGCTGTTAGCTAGGTATGACATCAGCCAACAACAGCAGTATATCGGTCACTTGAAATGATGCTTCACTGCCACACAACCATGATGACCTATTGAATAAAGAACATGAAGAGGGAGAGAAGCGGGACTTACCGTAAAACCTTAATGCCCTAAGTAAACATTCAGGATCAAGGCGCCTACACCTAGTGTTAAAAACATACCGTCGCAAACAGCTGACTATCGTGCAAAGATAAGACGGCATCGGCGAGACAGCTTCCTTGCAGCTTTCACTGCTTCGTGTCATAATCGGCCATTATCCCGCAGATAATTCAGCATCAAACACACATTAAACTGGCAGTCTTACTAGAAGACGCGCCACTGGTGTCGACTGTGAGCCATGTCTTGTAAAGCAATTTTCGAGCCAAGCACAACGCGGGTCACGTGGACTCCAGCCCGGAAGGTGAGACGGACCGACGGCACCCGGTTTGGTCATCAGTGACTTCATTTCCCGCTGCCACTTCAACTTCTATCCCCCTCGAGCCTTGCGCCACCTTACACCTGGCAGGCTAAACAAGACCCTCCTAAGTAAACGGCGACCAGGTATACGTTGCATGTGCCCGAGCCAACGCAGTTTATTCCGTGCGATCTGTTGCTCTAGGGAACTGGCATGATTACCAATACCTAGTACTTGCCTACGCACATCATCATTGTGGACACGTTGGTGCCACCCGACACCAGCAATGCTTGGCAGGCAACGATGATCAAAGACTTGAAGGCGTCTCAGATTTTCAGACCGAATCGGCCAAGTCTTGCTACCATAAAGCAGGACGGCCCTCATTGAGGCTTTGTAAACGCGGTCTTTCAGAACGTGGGAAACTCCCTTCTGTCGCCAAAGATGCCGCAGGTTGAAGAAGGCAGCTCTGGCCTTTACAATACGTGAGCTGACTTCTGTTTCTATGCGCCCATCATTGCTGATGCGGCTGTCAAGGTAAGTGAATTGATCAACTACGTTGAGTTAATCGTTATCAAGAATCAGGGGGTCATCAAGTGGTTAGTAGTTTTGCAGCAACACTTTGCACTTTGAAGATGCGAAGCGCATACCAAATAATGGGACCACTCTAGACAGGCTATACAGGGTTGATTATGCCACCGCATCATCGTCAAAAAGCAAGACGATATCGTCCGCATAATCAAGATCAATTGGCTTTTCACCAGACAAGGCGTCGACGCCTACATCCCGAGATTCCGTGAAGAAACACTCCATGATAGAGTCCACAACGAAATTGAACATAAAAGGGGAAATCGGACAACCCTGACGAACGCCATTTGTGGTCGGAAAGCTATCCGGTAGAACGCCGTAAACCCTGACGCGGCCTGTAGTGTTCGAATAAGGAGTACGGAGGATGCTAACATATTTCGTGAGAACACCTTTCCGCTCAAGTATTTCGAACAGAATGCATCGATCAACTGAATCGAGCGCACAATTAATGTCGAGGAACACAGCTATTGTCGGTCTGCGGTATGCGTGGCCCTGCTCCAGCACCTGACGCAGAGTGAATATATGGTTTATACAGCCAAGTACTGGGCAGAAACCGGCCTTCTCTCTCCTAATCCGAGATTCCCGTTCCACACTGTGGCGACGAACGAGAATCGAGGCCAGTAATTTTGTCACAACTGGCGTTAGGCTAATATCCCTGTGGTTAGCACAGTTTGTGCGACTGCCCTTCTTGTATATTGCCACTGTGATCTTTTCGCTCCAATTAGCCGGGACATTTCCTTCCAGATACGTTCGAATAGGGATCTCAGTGCTTTGCAGAGGATCTCACTTCCATGCTTAAATATTGCAGTAGGGTGGAATCCGGCCCAGCAGCACGGAATGATTGAGGACTGGGATTGCGTTTCGGACCTCAGCCTTCGACGGAGCCTCTAAACTAACCGTCCATGGCTCGTCTTGCATCACCTAATTAGTAAGAAGTCCGGTAGCAGGTGGCTAACTGAACTGCTCTTGAAATGGTTTCGCCCAACGAGCCATCCGGCACTGCATATTATGTATCAATGCACCCGCGCTATCTCTGCTTTTCACTGACTCCTGGTTTCCTGGGACCACTGGTTCGGATCAGCTGGAAGAGCTCGCGGTAACTGCCTACTGCTCCTGCCTTCTTCATTTCGTGAGCCCGACTGGTCCACCAGGCTTCCTTGTCAGCACGCAGGCTCCGCTTTAGTTCGCGCCTAATAATCCGTCTGGTCACATTGTGCTCAGAGCCAGCGGGGAGTTTTCTTATGGATTCCAACAGGTTCACCGACCTCTCGGATATCCAGTGACTGATGCGGTGATGATTAATAGGGCCACAAGCAGATGCTCCTGCGTCGTGCATGTCAGCCGAGATCCCATTCCACTGAACCTAAGTGTGATTAGGACAAGACAGCGAAGGTTCGGTACGCAGTGTGTCTTGATAGGCTTGCCTGACCGAGGGCTGAGATGATTTCTCAGTTGCCAGTGGGAGGGGATGTTAGGTGCGCTACCCGGTAAAGTTCATGGGGAAACGACAGCGTACCAAGGCATGATCAGAGTCGACACACGTACTCCAGTGCGAGCGGCACCCTAGCATGGAACCACGCCATCTGTAACTTATGGCTATGTGGTCAATTCGGGTCCATCGCTGGCCGGCTACAGGAGGACACCAGTTGGGTCACTTCGGTGCCCACTGTGTCTAAAAGCAGTGCTACTTAGAAACAACTGGTGATGCGCGCACAGTTGCAACAGACGCTCGCCATTGTGCGTCCGTTCGGGGTCTAGCCCATAATTACCAGCTAGCTGAGCTTCTGAAGAGCACATGCGGCCTACTTGTGCGTTTATATCCCCTGCAAGTACTATGATATCTGAACTAGTAGCACTGCGTAGTAGTGCGTTCAATTCGTGATAGGTTGTGTCCTTGACAGCATTAGAACTGCAGTCGATGGGAGCATAAGCGGAAATCAACACCAACAGCGTTTTGTACTACTTTGTGAATCAACCGTAGTTGAGCTCGTCGAACGAGCTGCACACAAACGGCTGTTTACCGGAATCCAATCAACTAACAATGGCTCAGCCTTGGATCTGAGAATGATACCTACATTCACTTGACCCGTGAGTGCTGCATCAGGCTATCCGGATGTGTGCAACCAATATCGAGAGGACAAACCGGGTGCAGTTAATTCAACAACCCCATTAGGGTCCTTGATCCTAATTTCTGACACACAACACACATCAATACCCGTTGTATCCAAGGTACGTATGAGTGCAACCTGTTGACCTATTTGTCTTAGAGTGCGAGCGTTAAAAGCCGCCAGTGAAACGGGCGGCGTGGCATTCTGAAGGACTGTTGCGGATAGGCGTTCGATGGTTGTTGCAGGAAGGCGACTGCAGATGCTGTGCCTCCAGTGGCACTTCGGTTGCTGCCAATTAAGCTGGGAAATATAGAATGGCGTTTAGTAATGGGGGTCGAGATGGGGGAGTAAGGGAAACAGATTAAAAAGAAGGACGCGATGCGCCAGCAGTAACATGTTTTCACTTATCGGCCCTGCTGTATGCGGCAGATAAAGGGACCCTTGATAATCTGCGCGACGGCGGGTGCAGGGTGAAGGTTATGTTTTCAGCAAAATTCATGGTTATATGTGAGCTGAGATACTGCCATGGCGCCCAGACATAGGTAGGCGGACGATGTGGGTCCTCAATCAAAGCCTTTGGCTCTATGGTCTGTCCGCAAGGCAGCGGTCGGAGGGTGGTAATGATTTAGTTTTACATAAATGGACGCCATCCCATTTCAAACCCCAACCTGGAGTACCAGAATACTGCGTTTGTCTGACCTCTAGCTATTAACCAACTTGGTATGGGTAGCTCTCAAGGTGACTGAAATCGTCACCCAGTCTAGGTCAGTGGATCGGCGAGGTACGCAGACCGTCGCACCCTGTTAAGGTCCAGCATCATTGCGACAAGGAAAGCAGTGGCTGCTCATTCTGCAATGCACTGCTGATTTTTCTTGAAACATTCGTGGCTACAGCCACTTCTTCCAGCGTTCGCCCGGAGCTGTTCGAATTATCGTTTACCTAGGTATTGTTTTTGCCAGACACTCCAGCACCGGCGAGTTTTCAGTCTACTCACCATCGTATGCTTCCTGAACCTACGTGCTGCTTTCGACTCATTCGACAGTGCTGCTGTCTGAAGTTTTTTTACTGAGGAGTGCCCGAGAAATTCGTCACCGTCCTCCATGTAGTCCATTCTTTAGCCTCAAGCTACATGCTAGTATATGGTGGTCATTTATAGTCCTTCGGTATCACCACTGGTGTGAAACTGGGTTGATCCGCATCACTTTGTTTAACTTCGCCATGGTTGACATATTGGTGCTCATTCTGGAAGGCTGTGGACGTAGTGGCCTCGAGTTGGTCACGCGTGATCTCCTTTGTGACTTGGAGTATGTTGTTGACATCGTCGTAATCTGTGCCTTCTCACAGGCTGTCCAGGACATGTTGCTCAGATAAGAGATATCTGTCTCACAATTCGGAATGATATTCGCCACTTCGAAGTGCAAGATTTTCCTTCTGGACTTGTCAGGAGCAACTAATCATCATCATCATTATACACGTTAGCTAGAGGTTTATAACACCTCAAGTATTGTGGCGCAATACATAAACATAAACGTGTATCATACTGATGATGACGATGATGGAACCGGATACTCCCAATCATATATAAAGCATTTTTTCGCTGTACTCTCCAAGCCCTCCTATCGTACCTGTGTGTATATACTTTAATCCACATGCTCATCATTCTTTGTATCCCGCGGCGGTTTCTCTATTTCCACACATGACGTCCAATGAGACCGATCCATTCTTCTACACCTTGTTTCTCGTCCTTTATCGCTTCTCTAGATCACCCTTCGACAATTGCAAGAAGGATCAAAACTATCTTTTGCAGACAATTTTAAAATGGAATTCCGCTTATCGCAACATTGTGTTCGACGACCTGATCTCGCTGAAGGCATCCGAGCGGTGCTAATTGACAAAGATAGTAGTCCACGATGGGACCCACCTCACTTGTCTCTCGTTACAAAAGAATTGGTCGACTCATACTTTTCCCCCATTCCTGGTGTGCCCGAATGGTGCATTTGAATTTGCTCCTCATCTTTCCTAGTCTTTCTTGAACTTTATTGAAGATATTATTTTGCCTGATGATCACATATTTCGAAATAAATAATGTTAGAAGACAATTGGCGCGAAAAAATTCTTTTCGACGATTCTCATCAGGCATGTACAATTATGGTACCAATAACCAAATCAGTATTACGGTATTTCTAGCCAGTATGTGCAAGGTGATAGATGTCCGGATAAGGGAAGAGTGCAGGGATTCAAATCAAACAAACTACGACGTTCAATTACCTTAACGTCACCTGACTGGGCTAAGCCCATGGCAAGATTCATGGCTTGCACCAGAGTCTTCGGCTTACACAGTTCTCGCTGTAGCTGTCAGATTGCAATGGCTTCAGCCGTAGTCAGCAAATGCCTGTCGAGCCTTTTTGGAGTCCGCTTCGGCACAGCGTGGGGTCCTTAGCTCTTATTTGATATCCTATGTTAAGCCGATATTCTAACATTGAACTGTGGACATTCTTTTCCGTACCGTGCTGCAATGATGTGGGGCAGAGCTCAGTAATTCTCTTCGATAGAGGTCTGGTGGTATGTCCGACATACCTAGCACCACACGTGCGGGTGAATTGATCTATTGCAAGGGAGTTGGACTGAACCGGAAGCCTATCTTTGAGGCGCTGCGTAATGAGAGGATCTGTTTCAGCAAGAATGTAGACTCGGGCTGCCGGATAGGTTTGATACACTGCGGTTGGCACCCTTCTACAAACTAGCTCGAAGGGGATGTATCCCATGAAAGGAACTGTAGGAAGTACCTTTTTCTTTCTGACAGTCATCATGCACTTATGGTGATTGCGGACCACAGAATTCATCCTAATGTAAGCTGTCGGATAGCCGTAGGTTTCTAGGATTCGCTGAATGAAATCCTTCTTCTCATCCAACGTTGCAGAGCTGCAGATTTTTGTGGCTCGATAGTACAGAGTACGCACTATTTTTATATTTCACAGGAACGGAAGTGCGTGTACTTGCTAACCCAAGTTGTCTTCCGGAATACCCTTCTTTCAAGAGAGCCATTGTCCTCTATCTCGCAGGTGAATTTTAGCAACGAATTCACGTTGTCCATCTGATCCAATAGATGAATTTGTTCAGCTTTGGAATCACAAACGATGAAGATATCATCCATGTACCTGTGATATGATGCAATGGAAGCGACGAGATGCTGTATGAGACCGTCTTCAACTCTGGCAAGGAAAAGATCTGCAAGTAGCGGTCCTGCAGGTGACCGCATTGTAATTCCATCTATTTTCGGTCGTATTGTCTGTCGAAAAAATCTGCCTGTTGATATCGGTGTTGCCCTCCTTTAGGCGATCACAGATGTGATTCACAGTGTCTATTAAAGGAGCATTCGTGAATAAGGACTCCATGTCAAAAAAGCATCATCTTATCCTTCACCTTTAAATTGTCACATCGCTTAAGGCACTCAATTTGTCGCTCACTTTGTGAGTTGATCATTTCTTATGCACCGGTTAAAGTATTTCCACAAGCCACTTGGCAACCGAGTGTGCGGTAGAGCCAGACATGTCAAATATCGGACGTAGGGGAATATTGGCTTTGTGTATTTTTACTAACCCGTATAGACGGCGCGGTTGCGATCCACACGGAATTAGCCGCTCAAGCAAAGTTCCATCTATATAGTTACCACGCTTTACTTCCTTCAGCAACTTGGTGAATTCCGACACATCTTGGCCGGTGTTATCCTTTTGCACTGGATCTGGCAAAAATTTACTAGAGTCACCCAAGCTGGTATGCATCTTGGACATGTAATCAGACTTCTCCATCATCACCCAACCCGATCTGGACGCGAGAGTATAATATCCGGATTGGATGTCAGTTGCTTAACTGCCTCTCGATGTTTCTTCATAACTATTCTAGCAAGTTGCGATTGGGAGTTATCATACTTTTTCGTGAGGTGTAAGCGAGTAGATGAAATATTGCACTTCACATGTCTAGTCTCACGCACGGCTTGATTTCCAGGGGAAAAGAGCAAAACTCAATGTAGGGGAACTCGTACACGTGGCTGTATAACAGCAAATTTAAATGTACCTTTATGACTTGGTTTGTGGACGTAGCCTCAATGTTGCTCAACAATGAGCCGGAACAACCCCAGCAGTCTGTATTCTCGATCAACGCTAAACGGGGGGCAGCGGTGAGACGGACAGAGCGGCGTGCGTGGTTATGAGTCACTAGGATGGTGTTTCGGTTAACCACAGTGATGTGAATAAACAAATGTCACGGTCGTGCTTTATAACCCTCGTGGTTGTGCAAAAAGGGTATAATGTAGGTAAAATAAAATATATACCTATGCTGATGAGTAGGAAAAGAAGGATAAAATTGCAATTTGTGAATATGTATTTCACACTCCCTCGACGACTTCCACCGGCGCTCCTTTAGCGTGTTCCTCATCCAGTGTCACTTCTAGAGGACAATGGTCTGACATCCCTGCGCAGAACCTTGGAAATCCTAACCGTTACTTCTCGCACGATGCCATCTGTTCCCTTCTTGACGCTTTCGACAATACCATTTAGCAGTATGCCCTTTGGGGTACGCGTATAAGCGATCAAAACTAGATCACCTACCTTCAAATCTCGACTCTTTGTGTGCCACTTTTGTCTAGTCTTTAGTAAAAGGGGATAACATCTGATGCATTTCTTCCAGAAATCCGTGAGTAGATGTTGCACTTGTCTCTACTGTCTACTTAATCTATAAGGGCGTTGTGATTCTTTAAGTTCCACTGTGCTTTCAGTACAGTGTTAACATTTGGTTAGGGCATAAAATGGCCCGTTCGTCTGGTTGTCCGCGCTTTGCAACCAATTGTATTCGCTTAACCATGCTTTCAATTTCAGTTATCACCGTAAGGAGCATTTCCTCGTCGATGAGCTGACCACTAATAATCGACCAAATTACCTTCCAATATCATGCGTTCCTATGCGTCACTCCCATGACTCCCGTTTGGGCGGTTAGAAATCCACTCACAATTGCTCTCAATCAATCTCTGTGTTATAGACTCGTGGTTCCAGAAGCTACATAGATTTTTGAGCTCGGCTTCAGCTCCGTGAAAGTTTGCGCCGTTATCGCTGTAGATTCCCATTGGAACTCCACGTCTAGACGTAAATCTCGTGAATGCACGGAGGAAGGAGTCTGTGTCCATGCCACCTGTTTCTTCAATGTGTACCGCCCTTACAGATGTATGTAAATATGCATCCATGTATCTTCCGTGGGTCATTTCAGCTTGACAAATAGTAGACCGTAATAATCAACCCCAACAGCAGTGAACACCGGCTGGAACGCCAGAAGGCCGTCTCTCATCACAGGTGCCATTTGTTGTCTACAAGCTTTAGCCTTCCATGTCCCGCACTTTGCACCATCTTGCAACGCTTTCCGCACGGTTGGTGTACGCCATGAGATCCGAAGATTTTGTAGCAATTTCGAAAACACGTAGGCAGTGCCCATGTGCCCACTTTTCTCATTGTAGTGCAAAATCAGCAAGCGAGTAACAAAATGGTCGGGAGATGACAGAATGGGATGCTTTGTCTCATAAAAAAGATGTGACCAGTTTAATCTTCCTCCGACTCGTAGAATACCCTGCTCATTGAATGGTGTTAAATTTCGCAAAAGATTGGCGTTGCGTTTCAGTTGCCGACTGGGACATTGTCCCTTGCTACTGTCAATGTTTTCCATCTTCTTTTGAAAACAGTGACTGCACCGTCCGTACAACATTAAGCTCAGCCTCATTAATCTCCATCAGCTTCAGGCGCCCTGTCAACTATATCCCCGATGATCAATTGGATTACGAAGCTTTTAAATCACAACAGTATCGCGATCATACGAATCAGAATCGTCCAGCTCCCACAGTTTGTGAAGTTCTCTAGCTACGAACTTGTGGTCTTGATTGTTTTAATGCGAACCTTATAGTGTCTGACAAAGAGTTGTAACCGCTGAACTTTTACGGCGAATAGGACCTTAGCGCGATTGCTCACGGTCAGGTTACAATAGGTAAAAATCAGCAAATCTATCCGATAGTACGAACGGAGAAATCGAACGCTGATCCGTAAATAGAGATCCGACGACCGATGCGAAGCATATACACAATAATCGAAGGCGGCACAATGTCACCGAGACCAGCAGACGACGAAATTTGAAGATGCGAATATATGTTGTGTGAGTTACAACAAATGTACAAAAATGACGGGAACTGGAATAGGAAGTTACAATGAAAATGTGAAGAATTTATAAACACTACAGGACTCCCCTCCTAGAGCGTGAGCCAGGAGAACGAACGCTCCAAACTGTGTGCTGGTGGTAGTCATTAGTTTGAAAGGCAAAACAACAGCGCGTCCCGAGCGTGTGTGCTTTGGTGCGTATGGTTCACTCACTGGTTCAGTGAAGGATGTAGAGGTTGGCACACAGGGTTCACACATTGGCTAGGTTGGAGGGGTATTGGGGAATGTCTATTCGTAGCTTGTGATGTTTTAGTCTCGACGTAGGCTGGGTTTAAGCGATCAACGCTTAGAGAATTCTGCGAACCGTTTCTATCCAACTACGAAATCTTTCTCTTTGCGAGTAAGAACTTTGAAGGCGCCCTCATACGGCGGTGATAAGGGTTTACGCACCGCATCGACGCGCACAAAAACGAAAAGGCAGGTATGCAAATCAGAGTGGACTTGCTGATTTCGAGGGCTAAATCGAGGCGTTGTTGCTCGGACTGAATAAAAACGTTGTCGCAATCGTACCACATAGGAAGTCGGATCTACTTCGTCAGTGATTCTGGAATCTATCACCATTGCACCAGGAAGTCTGAGAGTTATCTCGAAAACCAGTTCAGCGGGGCAATAACCTAGGTCTTCTTTGACCGTGTTGCGAATGCCGAGAAGGATAACTGATAACTATTCGGACCCGTGCGTGCTCGATTGTGATGCGGTAATTGCGGCTTTCAGTTGACGATGAAAACGCTCAACAAGACCGTTGGCGGCTGGATGGTACGCGGTTGTTCGCAGATGACAACAACCGAGTAAACGATTGAGGTCTCGAAATAGAGCGGAATTGAACTGATGACCTCTGTCTTGTGATCGTGGCTGCGGTGCCAAACACATATCCAGGTTTCAACGAACGTCCGCCAAACAGTTTCGGTGGA